CATGTATTTCTTATGGAATCAGCTGACACTTTCATAGCCCTGATTCATTGATTAAATACATATAGATAGACCCATGCTATTGTTTGGAGCGAACAGGCCAACGGCCGGCGAACAAGAGATGGCGCACCAACAGTCGGCCGTCAAACGCCGGCGAAAAGCTTGGACACCAATCGCGCGCGTAGATAACCCAAATCGCAGCAACAATACATTTAATAAAGCTACCACTCGACAGAGGGCGACGAAAACAATGTGTAAAAATCTCATAGTAACCATTTATATAATTTGCAACGTTGCCAGATGAGCCTAGCACAACTTTGCCGTTATTTCTAGTCGATTAGATTTTATTTCGTTTAAAAGTTTCTGGTGAATAAATGGAATTATTATAATGAATAAACAATACAAACAAATTATTACTTGTTATTTTAAATACTTGTTAGTGTTGATGAAAACATAAATGGTAATTAAAGTTATTCTAAATACGATCCGGTCCGGTAGCTCAAATTTTACAGTACGAGTGATATGTTTCAGGACGAGTAGGTAGCCGAGTCTTTAATTTCGAAACGAGTACTGCGAAAAGAGTTACCGGACGTATGTTGTTGTGTATTTTATTTCATACTGTCAACATACTTTTTTATTCGATAATATTATTATTATTTTGAGAAAAAATCCAAATCGAGTCACTTTTTCTGACATCGTTAGCAACCGCTCTTTGGTAAATGTTTTAATTTGTTTATTCGTGCAAATCAGCATCATATGTTTAAACACATAGTACTTATAACACTTTACAGGACTTATTGTTTTGTATAATCCGACTCGATGGACGAATGTTTTGTGCAATCCGTCTCGAAGGACCAATGTTTGTGCAACTCGGCTCGTCCTACCAGTATTTTTTGTAATCTGGTTGATACGACAATGTGATACCGAATTGTACTTTGATATTGCTCCAAGGACCTTTGTTTTCTTGCGTGCGAGATAATAGACAGCGTTCGGTTTCGATGTTTAATACAGGACGGTTACAGAAGTACTAAATTTACATTTGTATTTACAATAACAGGTAAAGCAAAAGAGACCCAAAAGGGTCAGTGGCCGCTTCCGGAAATGGAACACTTGTCCTTTTTGGCTCAATTTTATCGGACTTGTCCGTTTTTTTGATTTTACCGGAATCGTTCGATCCAGTAAAACGTCAAACTTGACATAGTATAAAGTAAAATAAATAAATTTTATTCAATTTTGACATGTAAACAAACGTTTATTTTGCCGTCAGTAGGCCACTAAAGCTTTGGTTTATCCGGTAGCACCATAAAATTTTTAAACCGCTAGCGAAATAAAATTTTTATTTTGCTGTTTTAAAACCATGGTTACCATTTCTGTAATTTCTCCAATGCCTTGCTGCTCTTTCCATCTAAGGAACTTTTGATACACTTTCTGATTTGCTCTTTTTTGGGAGCAAGTTTTGCCGTTGGAATCTTGCATGATTTTGCAATTTTTCGATAATTTTAGTTTGTTTAAAATAAACAAACACCGTCGCCAGAGTCACATACTACACACACACACCTGATATTGTAACCTAAATTCTACGCATATAAAACTTTTATTTGGTCGCTGTCAATTCTGACGTTTCTCGAATGTGAACTTTGAATCACCAATTTTTTCACAATTTGGGACTTGGGGTTGTCAAAATTGAATAAAAGTTTGTATTACACTCGCGGTTAAAATGAATGTGTAACTAACTCGTGGTCTTAAGGCGCTCGCGGCATGCGCCGCTCTCGCCTTAAACTGGCCGCTCATTAAACATTCACTTTAACCGCTTGTATAATAAATAACTATTATGATGTAAATCCAATTAAGTATATCGATAATTCGCTACTGAAAATTTATTGAAATATAATTTGTGTTAAAAAAAGATTTTTGTGGTTTTATGGTTTATTAACATAATTTACTTATTTGAAATTAAATATTTTTAATACATAGCACAAGTTCTTGATATTCTTTATTTTTATTCCAAGTAATAATTGTGTTTCCTTTAGTTTTAATCAAGAAAATTTTTCGGTTATTATCTAACATACTTTTGTACATTAAGAAACTCCATTCCACGTCACAGGACGTTACAGGACAATATTTAAATAAATAAAGAAGTCGTTTTATGTGTTTTAAAATTCACTCTGATTTCCGGACTTTAGACTTTTTGGTGTTTCACTTCGGCACAAGAACTAGTCGTATCTCAAAGAAAACAAACAGTGGAATATACCGTATTGTACCTATATTTCATAGTAAAAATGTCTAAATTTTTTTATGAAGAGACAGACTGTTCTAGGAAACTTTACTAAATCTTTTCATTTACGAGCTATTGAAAGTCCGCCGGTCTCACTGATACTTCTTACTTGGCTCCTACGAATGAAGCGAAAAATGCACAGATTGAAAATATAGTAAATGGGGTAGTATGTTTGCGTGATATGTCGTTAGACATTAGGTATTTTGCAAATAAAATTTATTTCATTGAAAACAGAAACAATAAAAAACATATCTGTACAAGTTTGGAATCGATATGGCCAGTTGTTTAGAATATGCAAATATGCTTTTGTTCGTATTTACAATTATTACGAAACAGGTTATCAAATAATCTATTTTCACATGGCGAGACTTTCAAGCGGCCGAAGAATTAAAAACCATAAATTTTCATTGAAGAAACAAACTCTTCCAAGAAAATTACCAAATCTTTTAGTTTACGCACTATTGGACGAGCACTCCTTAAAACGGTCAGTATACCTAATCGCATTATTCCATTGATACCTACCTACCGAAAACGTTGCCAGATGAGCCTAACACAAATTTGCGGATATTTCTCGTCAACCAGATATTATTTCATTTAGAAGTTTCTGGTAAATAAATGGGATTATTGTAATGAACACATAAAACAAATAAATTGTGATTATTATTTGTTGTTTTAACCCATTAGACGCTTATAGGCTTATAAGCATACTTTTCTTGAAAAATCGGTAATAAATTCAGTGAAACATCTTTGTGCCTTAATTCCTATTGGTAAACTGGGATTTTCAATAGAGGTCGCAGGAAAATTTTGTATGGTTTTATGGTTTATTTACATAATTTTCTTATTTACAATGAATGTTTTTGATATATAATACAAGTTCTTGATATTATTTATTTTAATTACATTTAATAAACCATAAAACCACAAACATCTTTTTTTAACACAAATTATATTTCAATAAATTTTCAGTAGCGAATTATTATCGATACACTTAATTGTATTTACATCATAAAATGTATTTATTTTACTTCATACTATGTCAAGTTTGACGTTTTACTGGATCGAACTATTCCGGTAAAATCAAAAAAACGGACAAGTCCGATAAAATTGAGCCGCCAAAAACACGGAGGTAGAAGAGACACTCTTCTACCTCCGTGGCCAAAAAGGACAAGTCTTCCATTTCCGGAAGCGGCCACTGACCCTTTTGGGTCTCTTTTGCTTTACCTGTTATTGTAAATACAAATGTAAATTTAGTACTTCTGTAACCGTCCTGTATTAAACATCGAAACCGAACGCTGTCTATTATCTCGCACGCAAGAAAACAAAGGTCCTTGGAGCAATATCAAAGTACAATTTGGTATCACATTGTCGTATCAACCAGATTACAAAAAATACTGGTAGGACGAGCCGAGTTGCACAAACATTGGTCCTTCGAGACGGATTGCACAAAACATTCGTCCATCGAGTCGGATTATACAAAACAATAAGTCCTGTAAAGTGTTATAAGTACTATGTGTTTAAACATATGAGGCTGATTTGCACGAATAAACAAATTAAAACATTTACCAAAGAGCGGTTGCTAACGATGTCAGAAAAAGTGACTCGATTTGGATTTTTTCTCAAAATAATAATAATATTATCGAATAAAAAAGTATGTTGACAGTATGAAATAAAATACATAACAACATACGTCCGGTAACTCTTTTCGCAGTACTCGTTTCGAAATTAAAGACTCGGCTACCTACTCGTCCTGAAACATATCACTCGTACTGTAAAATTTGAGCTACCGGACCGGACCGTATTTAGAATAACTTTAATTACCATTTATGTTTTCATCAACACTAACAAGTATTTAAAATAACAAGTAATAATTTGTTTGTATTGTTTATTCATTATAATAATTCCATTTATTCACCAGAAACTTTTAAACGAAATAAAATCTAATCGACTAGAAATAACGGCAAAGTTGTGCTAGGCTCATCTGGCAACGTTGCAAATTATATAAATGGTTACTATGAGATTTTTACACATTGTTTTCGTCGCCCTCTGTCGAGTGGTAGCTTTATTAAATGTATTGTTGCTGCGATTTGGGTTATCTACGCGCGCGATTGGTGTCCAAGCTTTTCGCCGGCGTTTGACGACCGACTGTTGGTGCGCCATCTCTTGTTCGCCGGCCGTTGGCCTGTTCGCTCCAAACAATAGCATGGGTCTATCTATATGTATTTAATCAATGCCTGATTTTAGCCCAGCCGGTGTGTTCGAATTCGACAACTTCGCCAAAGGGACCAAAGCCATCATGGATGAAGTTGTTGCAGCCACCGAACGTGGCGCTGTCACCATAATTGGTAAAACGTAAAAACCGACTAGGTTTGAAATGTGCGACTATGTGGATTTTCAGGTGGTGGGGATACGGCCACGTGAGCTGCTAAGTGGCAGACTGAGGATAAAGTTTCACACGTTTCGACAGGAGGTGGCGCTAGTTTGGAACTTCTGGAAGGAAAAGAACTGCCAGGAGTGGTGGCCCTGTCTGATGCTTGAATATTTCTAAGTTTAAATGTGTAAATTATATATTTGATGTAAAATTAGCGTAAGCACTAAGAAACAAGACTTTTAAAATAGAAGAAGAATAAATGTGTGGATTATTTTTTTATTTTTAGTTAATTATAAGTCGTAGGTCGATCTTGGTCAAACTAAAACTCTGACATAATATTTAATAGAAATCGTTTCTTAGATTGGCAAGTCCATGTTTGACGAAGCTGGCGCTAAAATCGTCAATGACTTAATGACAAAGGCGGAGAAAAATGACGTCAAAATGCACCTTCCGTGTGATTTTATTACCGCTGATAAATTCGAGGAATGTGCAGAGGTGAGTCCACAATCCTAACCTATTTCGTTTCAGTTGCAACTTATAGGTTGGTTGTGCTGATGTTGAGTCGGGGATTCCCGACGGATGGATGGGTTTGGATATAGGACCCAACAGCATCGAATCGTTTAAAGTACCCATCGGTAGAGCACAAGTGATAGTTTGGAATGGGTTAGCACACCCACTAGATTTTTAGTTTTATCACTTTTTATAATCATTTTAGATCACCCGGTGTATTTGAATGGGACGACTTCTCCAAAGGAACTAAAGCCGTCATGGATGGAGTCGTTGCAGCCACGCAACGAGGAGCTGTCACTATTATCGGTATCAAAGTAAAAATGTTGCGTGTATTAACAAATAAATGGGTTTTTAGGTGGCGGAGACACAGCCACCTGTGCTAAAAAATGGAAGAGTAAAGATAAAGTTTCACACGTTTCGACGGGAGGTGGCGCTAGTTTGGAACTTCTCGAGTGGAAAGTGCTACCAGGGGTAGCAGCCCTTTCTGATGCTTAAATTTTCCTCCTCCAGGTTTAATTTGTTATAAATTCGTATCTTTATTTAGCGATTTAATAAATTCATGTTTGGTTAGATATGAAATACCAACATAAAAACTCAAAAAATACTACAATGTCAGATTTGGCGTCATTTCAAACACCCGTCATTGATTAAATACATATAGATAGACCCATGCTATTGTTTGGAGCGAACAGGCCAACGGCCGGCGAACAAGAGATGGCGCACCAACAGTCGGCCGTCAAACGCCGGCGAAAAGCTTGGACACCAATCGCGCGCGTAGATAACCCAAATCGCAGCAACAATACATTTAATAAAGCTACCACTCGATAGAGGGCGACGAAAACAATGTGTAAAAATCTCATAGTAACCATTTATATAATTTGCAACGTTGCCAGATGAGCCTAGCACAACTTTGCCGTTATTTCTAGTCGATTAGATTTTATTTCGTTTAAAAGTTTCTGGTGAATAAATGGAATTATTATAATGAATAAACAATACAAACAAATTATTACTTGTTATTTTAAATATTTGTTAGTGTTGATGAAAACATAAATGGTAATTAAAGTTATTCTAAATACGGTCCGGTCCGGTAGCTCAAATTTTACAGTACGAGTAATATGTTTCAGGACGAGTAGGTAGCCGAGTCTTTAATTTCGAAACGAGTACTGCGAAAAGAGTTACCGGACGTATGTTGTTATGTATTTTATTTCATACTGTCAACATACTTTTTTATTCGATAATATTATTATTATTTTGAGAAAAAATCCAAATCGAGTCACTTTTTCTGACATCGTTAGCAACCGCTCTTTGGTAAATGTTTTAATTTGTTTATTCGTGCAAATCAGCATCATATGTTTAAACACATAGTACTTATAACACTTTACAGGACTTATTGTTTTGTATAATCCGACTCGATGGACGAATGTTTTGTGCAATCCGTCTCGAAGGACCAATGTTTGTGCAACTCGGCTCGTCCTACCAGTATTTTTTGTAATCTGGTTGATACGACAATGTGATACCGAATTGTACTTTGATATTGCTCCAAGGACCTTTGTTTTCTTGCGTGCGAGATAATAGACAGCGTTCGGTTTCGATGTTTAATACAGGACGGTTACAGAAGTACTAAATTTACATTTGTATTTACAATAACAGGTAAAGCAAAAGAGACCCAAAAGGGTCAGTGGCCGCTTCCGGAAATGGAAGACTTGTCCTTTTTGGCCACGGAGGTAGAAGAGTGTCTCTTCTACCTCCGTGTTTTTGGCTCAATTTTATCGGACTTGTCCGTTTTTTTTATTTTACCGGAATAGTTCGATCCAGTAAAACGTCAAACTTGACATAGTATGAAGTAAAATAAATAAATTTTATGATGTAAATACAATTAAGTGTATCGATAATAATTCGCTACTGAAAATTTCTTGAAATATAATTTGTGTTAAAAAAAGATTTTTGTGGTTTTATGGTTTATTAAATGTAATTAAAATAAATAATATCAAGAACTTGTATTATATATCAAAAACATTCATTGTAAATAAGAAAATTATGTAAATAAACCATAAAACCATACAAAATTTTCCTGCGACCTCTATTCAAAATCCCAGTTTACCAATAGGAATTAAGGCACAAAGATGTTTCACTGAATTTATTACCGATTTTTCAAGAAAAGTATGCTTATAAGCCTATAAGCGTCTAATGGGTTAAAACAACAAATAATAATCACAATTTATTTGTTTTATATGTTCATTACAATAATCCCATTTATTTACCAGAAACTTCTAAATGAAATAATATCTGGTTGACGAGAAATATCCGCAAATTTGTGTTAGGCTCATCTGGCAACGTTTTCGGTAGGTAGGTATCAATGGAATAATGCGATTAGGTATACTGACCGTTTTAAGGAGTGCTCGTCCAATAGTGCGTAAACTAAAAGATTTGGTAATTTTCTTGGAAGAGTTTGTTTCTTCAATAAAAATTTATGGTTTTTAATTCTTCGGCCGCTTGAAAGTCTCGCCATGTGAAAATAGATTATTTGATAACCTGTTTCGTAATAATTGTAAATACGAACAAAAGCATATTTGCATATTCTAAACAACTGGCCATATCGATTCCAAACTTGTACAGATATGTTTTTTATTGTTTCTGTTTTCAATGAAATAAATTTTATTTGCAAAATACCTAATGTCTAACGACATATCACGCATACATACTACCCCATTTACTATATTTTCAATCTGTGCATTTTTCGCTTCATTCGTAGGAGCCAAGTAAGAAGTATCAGTGAGACCGGCGGACTTTCAATAGCTCGTAAATGAAAAGATTTAGTAAAGTTTCCTAGAACAGTCTGTCTCTTCATAAAAAAATTTAGACATTTTTACTATGAAATATAGGTACAATAGGTATATTCCACTGTTTGTTTTCTTTGAGATACGACTAGTTCTTGTGCCGAAGTGAAACACCAAAAAATCTAAAGTCCGGAAATCAGAGTGAATTTTAAAACACATAAAACGACTTCTTTATTTATTTAAATATTGTCCTGTAACGTCCTGTGACGTGGAATGGAGTTTCTTAATGTACAAAAGTATGTTAGATAATAACCGAAAAATTTTCTTGATTAAAACTAAAGGAAACACAGTTATTACTTGGAATAAAAATAAAGAATATCAAGAACTTGTGCTATGTATTAAAAATATTTAATTTCAAATAAGTAAATTATGTTAATAAACCATAAAACCACAAAAATCTTTTTTTAACACAAATTATATTTCAATAAATTTTCAGTAGCGAATTATCGATATACTCAATTGTATTTACATCATAATAGTTATTTATTATACAAGCGGTTAAAGTGAATGTTTAATGAGCGGCCAGTTTAAGGCGAGAGCGGCGTATGCCGCGAGCGCCTTAAGACCACGAGTTACACATTCATTTTAACCGCGAGTGTAATACAAACTTTTATTCAATTTTGACAACCCCAAGTCCCAAATTGTGAAAAAATTGGTGATTCAAAGTTCACATTCGAGAAACGTCAGAATTGACAGCGACCAAATAAAAGTTTTATATGCGTAGAATTTAGGTTACAATATCAGGTGTGTGTGTGTAGTATGTGACTCTGGCGACGGTGTTTGTTTATTTTAAGCAAACTAAAATTATCGAAAAATTGCAAAATCATGCAAGATTCCAACGGCAAAACTTGCTCCCAAAAAAGAGCAAATCAGAAAGTGTATCAAAAGTTCCTTAGATGGAAAGAGCAGCAAGGCATTGGAGAAATTACAGAAATGGTAACCATGGTTTTAAAACAGCAAAATAAAAATTTTATTTCGCTAGCGGTTTAAAAATTTTATGGTGCTACCGGATAAACCAAAGCTTTAGTGGCCTACTGACGGCAAAATAAACGTTTGTTTACATGTCAAAATTGAATAAAATTTATTTATTTTACTTTATACTATGTCAAGTTTGACGTTTTACTGGATCGAACGATTCCGGTAAAATCAAAAAAACGGACAAGTCCGATAAAATTGAGCCAAAAAGGACAAGTGTTCCATTTCCGGAAGCGGCCACTGACCCTTTTGGGTCTCTTTTGCTTTACCTGTTATTGTAAATACAAATGTAAATTTAGTATTTCTGTAACCGTCCTGTATTAAACATCGAAACCGAACGCTGTCTATTATCTCGCACGCAAGAAAACAAAGGTCCTTGGAGCAATATCAAAGTACAATTCGGTATCACATTGTCGTATCAACCAGATTACAAAAAATGCTGGTAGGACGAGCCGAGTTGCACAAACATTGGTCCTTCGAGACGGATTGCACAAAACATTCGTCCATCGAGTCGGATTATACAAAACAATAAGTCCTGTAAAGTGTTATAAGTACTATGTGTTTAAACATATGATGCTGATTTGCACGAATAAACAAATTAAAACATTTACCAAAGAGCGGTTGCTAACGATGTCAGAAAAAGTGACTCGATTTGGATTTTTTCTCAAAATAATAATAATTTTATCGAATAAAAAAGTATGTTGACAGTATGAAATAAAATACATAACAACATACGTCCGGTAACTCTTTTCGCAGTACTCGTTTCGAAATTAAAGACTCGGCTACCTACTCGTCCTGAAACATATTACTCGTACTGTAAAATTTGAGCTACCGGACCGGACCGTATTTAGAATAACTTTAATTACCATTTATGTTTTCATCAACACTAACAAGTATTTAAAATAACAAGTAATAATTTGTTTGTATTGTTTATTCATTATAATAATTCCATTTATTCACCAGAAACTTTTAAACGAAATAAAATCTAATCGACTAGAAATAACGGCAAAGTTGTGCTAGGCTCATCTGGCAACGTTGCAAATTATATAAATGGTTACTATGAGATTTTTACACATTGTTTTCGTCGCCCTCTGTCGAGTGGTAGCTTTATTAAATGTATTGTTGCTGCGATTTGGGTTATCTACGCGCGCGATTGGTGTCCAAGCTTTTCGCCGGCGTTTGACGGCCGACTGTTGGTGCGCCATCTCTTGTTCGCCGGCCGTTGGCCTGTTCGCTCCAAACAATAGCATGGGTCTATCTATATGTATTTAATCAATGCACCCGTGTAGGGTATCGCAATAAATTACACTATTACACCCAGCAGTAGTAAAAATGTTCCCATTTTTTAACCGAATCATTATAAATAACAACAAACATTAAACAATAAGACTATGATTAATCCGCTATTACATCACACTGCATTGGTTAGGATCGGCACTATTTTGCACATCTAGAGGTAACGGTGGCCCCACATCCCCCACTAAATCAGTCGGTGGCTGTCCATAATCCTGCAACTAAACCACCAAATAACAAGCCACAACCTCAACTCAAAACCCACCTTTTGCATCAACCCTAACACCTTCTCAAACCTCTCCTTCTTCTGTTCTTCACTATGCGTCTCTTTCTCCTTCTCCAACTCGGCACAAACCTCCTCCATCAACTTCTTCTGATTCTCAAACCTCTCCGCATCCTCCCTACTCAAACTATCCTTATTAGTCCTCAGCCACTCGGGAAACTTATCTAAAATATCCTTCAAACTCGGATACAACACATCCTTCGACAACAAACTCTGCATCATCCCTTGCATAAACGGTAAAAAAGCATTTTGGTCCCCTTGCCTCCCGAATAAATTCATCATATCCTGCTCCGAAAACGGGTTCTGCAAGCCTTCCGCCCCCGCGTTCAACCCCTGAATAGTTTGCGAGATCGTAGACGCAAAATCGTTCGAATTCTCTGTAATATTGGGGTTCTCGATTACTTGTTGCGCGGCTTCGGCCATCTGCTGGAACTTCTGCTGCAGCTGCTCATTGGTTAACTGCGTTCCGTCGGACGAAGAACCGAGAAAAGTTGCCAAGTTTTGCTCGAACTGAGAGGCAGCTTGTTTGATGAAGTCTTCGGTCCATTCTACGGAGGCCTCGTCGGGTAGCTCGTCTTTAGTGGGGTCGGGTTTCGCCTCTTTCGACGAGTCTTTGATGAAGTCTTGCAGAGCACCTGGGAGAAGGGGGTGGTTATGCAATAGAGGAACTACATGACTTACTTCTAGTAGGTTGGAAAGCTCGGCGTCAACTTTGTCGTCTTTAGGGGTTGATTCTTTCTTAGGGTCACTCATGTTGGTGTTCAGTACGTAGTTTAAGGGCAAAGTTTAATAAATTATGCGGAAGTGAGGTTAGAAAGGATCAGGTGACTCGAGGAAATCTGGGGGAAGGGGGAGTGATAGTGGTACGACTGTAATGTGTATTTGTTGATTTTGCAACGATGAAAGTCTTTAAAGGGGTTCGTTGTGGCCGTAGCAGCTATAATTGGTCTCATACATATTCCAATAATTTCTAATTGTGACGATAATATTGTTTATGTAACACAACACGTAATGTTGGTAGCCTTGTCACTGACATAATTGGAACCAAATTGCTAAAATCGTTAAAATTTCAAAAGTAAGTGTATATGGGGACCGAAATCGATGTCTTTATTAGCAATTATACTCTCGTCGACCCGGAAATCTATCAATTGTGGGTGGAGGGTCATACAGGTAACGCGCAAACATAACCTCAAAGTGCCCCCTTTCACAGTCTATTCCAGCGAGCGAAGCCGTCTCGATTTTGAATCAGAGGGGCTTAGGGCAGCTGACGGGTGCCCCTCTTGAACTAATAGCCAGTGATGTGTTGGACCACTATCGCACCTACTCACTTCTGGAAAAACTCCTCAGTAACCCAAACAAACTCCAAGAACAGTTGGCGCTTCAGATTGAGCCCCAGACACGAAAGCTACTCATAGAGAAGTACGCACACTACATAACCACACTTCTTTAAATTAAAAAAACGTTACAGGTACTACGATTTCGACGACAGCGTCGTTCGAGAGCTCATTGGAAAAAAACTTTCCAGCAAACACAGAAAAGACTTGGATGAAGTGTCTGAAAAGACAGGCGTTCCGTTAAAGTCGAACAAAGTGGCAGGTGTTGACAATTTCGACACGGAACACGACAAAGACTTCTTTTCTGAGTTACGAGAGATTAAAATTTTGTTAGAGAAAGAGAAAGAGCACAAGCAGTAGGTTGTATTTTTGTTAATTGTGGAATGATTTCAAGGGGGTTTTCAGTCTAGTGTGCGTGTTGTTGAGAGCCAAGCTTTTGCAGAAATGCTACCTGGACTTGGATGCCAATTTTAAGAATTATAATCGGGCGATTTTGTTGCCTACGACAAATATGCACCGTCCTCGAGATGTTAAAAATATGTTTGTCGAACTGACTTCGCTTTCGGATAGTTTAAAACAGGCAAACTGGACTATACCAGAGTTGGAAATTTTTTTGAATGCGTATACACAGTGTGGCTGCGAAATTGACATTATAAGGTAGGTGGTTTGAATCTAGGGATTTTTATGAACTAGTGTTTGCAGAGACTCAGCGGCACTCAAAATTTTGTGGGAAAAGTACATGAAAGTGATAACCAGGGCTATGAAAGTCTCAGCTGATTCCATAAGAAATACATGAGCTTACGGAACGACATAAAGAGGTCACTAGCGTCACTAAAGGTGCTCCGACCTTGAAGAACATAGTTTCTTTTTCATTTTCAGGTTTTCGGTGAACGTTTTGTCTGGTTTTGTCAACAAGAAATGTCATATTAATTACGGAATCATAGGGGATGTTGGGTTATGGGGTTAAAAACAAACGTAAAATTTATGTTAACAAAGTAATAGATACTTACGATACATGCAAAAAATACTAGAAAATTCCAGGCTAAAGAGGTCAACAAACTGCATGTTAAACGAAATAGTTTAATTTTCGATGTGTGCGTGTTTGAGCGGTCCAAGATTAATTTTTAAATTTTAGTGTGTAAAAAATTCTAACTAATAAAAACTGAAACGAGGTAATCAAGAGGAAAGTCTTTGCAGGGGTGGTGGAATGGTATTTTTGTATGGTTCGTTTTTTAGCCGCAAACCAGTTAACGACTACAGTGCATAAATTGGGAAAAACTCAAAATGTATTACCCATCGGAGTATAAACTGCAAAATGTTTAGGTGGTATCATTAAATTGCCAAAAATCACATCTTCATTGAAGACTTTAAAATGTCACACAATTAAAACAGGATGTACCACTTCGTAAGAATGTGCAAAGTTCACAACAAACTTCGCAGAAGTGGTGGTGTAAGAATTTTCATATTAATGAGTATCCACAAACATATCATAAACAGTTGTGTTCTTTCAAGGTGAGTTTCCGGTAACTCACATCACTTAATGATTGTTGAAGAGGCTGGAATACAGGGGAGATGTGTTGTGGAAGTTTGTTTAAAAGAACACCTTAGCAAATTTTTCATTTCAAATAAAATAGTGTTTCACAGTTGGTTCTTGCACTCGTATCGAAATAATCTGTAGTAAATAGTTTCCGAAACACACTTTGGAATTACATTGGTGTGGGATTTATACAATTCCCAAATTGACGTCTCACAGAGCCAAACAAATACATATGTCAAACAATACTGATTTAGTTGCAGCAACCTTTTAGTGAAAATTGTAAATAAATTGTATTCTGTGAAAACTATTAAAAATAATAAGCAAAATATTTATGTTCCTGAGGTTGTTTTTTATTTTTTTGTGAGTGATTTAAAAATATTAAGAGTGAAATAAAAATTTTGCAATTCACTTGTGGATAACAACTTATTTGTCAGACTTGTTAAGGATTTAATAAACGCAGTTTAAAACGTCAAAATTGAATAAAAATGTTTTGCTTGAATATATTAATAATTTATAAGAAAGAAAAAAATGGCCAATGTCACTAGTACATGCCACCCATTTTTATTTTTGTGTACAATTATTAGTACTATATGAATCACATACGAATGCTACGAAATATTTGAATCTTCGTGTTTCCCGGGAACGGGCTCCCAAGGTCACACCCGTTCCGCAAATATTGCTGAAGTTTCGTTACTGATCTACTGTGGTGATAACAGAGTGTCTCCTGGCGATGTACTAATTTTAATCGTAATAACACAAATAAAATAAATTATTTATTAAAAATAGAACAAACTGTCAACAACCTCTAAAACTTGCAAGACCTTTATAAAGTGTCACACACTTACAATATTTAGAAAACCACACGTACAAGATAGAAACGTCAACTTTTATAACGACGCCATGTTGGTATTCTGAAAAGTGTCATAAAAAAACGTGTTAGTCATACCACGTAACTTACCATTGGGTCTCATTTCGTACACGACCAAATCACCCTTTTCGAAGTCCGTTATTGCTTGATATAACCCGTGTAAAAAGTACCTCACGATGTGCTTATTTTCCTCAGGTACGTCGTCCCAAGCCCTCGGACTTTGATAACACAGAAGCCACACTTCATCCGGCTTCACGTAAGCCCAGTCGCCGTCGTCGAAAACCACCAAATATCTACAACCAATCGCGACATTACACGCGCCGAGTCGCTACTTTGACAGACCTTTGTAGGTTCTGGTTGGTTGGAAATTCCATAACCACGCCCTTTTCGTGCTTGCGTCGTCCTCGTGACAGTTCGCCGGTGGTCGATAGTTGTTTTTTCAAAGCCACGACACGGCTGCCAACCTCTAGGACTCGGGTGGGCGGTTCAGGGTAGGCTATGTTTTTTTGGTGGTTATTATGTCGTTGAAGGTTTGGTTGTCGGCGAGGTGGACGACGTCTTCGCCGACGTGGATAAGTTTGGCTTTTACCCACTTTTTGTTGTTTTTGTTGGGGGTGAGGTAGGTTTCCATGAGTTCGAATTTGGGGGGTTTGGGGTCCAGGGTGCTGCCGAACGGGAACATGGATTCGACAGCAGACTCGGTTTTTAGGGAGTTGAGGGCTAGGGGTAAGGGTTTGGGCATGGGTCGTAGGGGAGCAATGTGTTCCACTTGGAGGTCTAAGCAAGTAGTTCAAGTTGAACAAATACAAATTAGTAAATGGTAGTGCCGTTTTCACGCTTGAAAAACCCGTGTGTAACTGTAAAATATTTCTGCGCATGTGCTACTTACCCGGGCACTGAATTAGTTTTTTCAGCAGGTCTAGCGTCTCCCGGTGGTCACGCCTGTGGTATTCTATTGTCTTAGGTGGAGACCAATGCCACTTTTTGGTGGTTTCGTTGAAGCTCAAATTTCTTTCGACGATGACTTGACTTTGCTTAATAGACAAGTCTTCGACGGGATCGGCATCTTCAGGGTCCATTATCTGATTCTTAGTAACAGCAACAAAAAAAATTGACGGAAGAAATGTGACTTTCGGAACATTGACAAACAAGGTGTGTTGATTTTTTGTTTTTATAATGGTGTCGTTGCTTTGGTAACGGGTGCCATTGTAACTATGATTATTTTTCAATCAAGGATTAACTTGAAAAGTAACTAAATTCCAGGTTATGTTTGTTTTTTGTGCATTAAGTTTTCGAAACTTAAGGTGTTGCGTTTATTGAATGTCTATACTGCTAGGAAACAATCAGTTGAAGGAAAAAATAACAAATTGGAAAATTTATTTCTGATTTATACAGGGTCATTATAAAATACTGTAGTCAACTCACCTATGAAAAACAATTGAAATTTTTCTCGTGCCGCTAATCACCAAAATGATTTCAACTCTTTTGAAATGTCACGAACGTCGAAACAAATCTATCAAATGTGTCAAAAATTGACATGCCAGGTTTGCGATTTAATTTCATTTTAAATAGACACGAAAAGACGCCAGGCCAGAGCATTAAGGGTTGCAGTGTTATCGAGCATTTGTGAACGCCACTGCAATACATTTCAGTTTCAAAAATTGTAAATTGTCAGAAAAACGTTTAAGGGCTTTGTCATGAATTACACCTTGGAAAGTCGATTGGAGTTGAACAGAATAAATCATCTGGTCTGTTTTGCAAAGAAGCAATAATTTTTCAAATAATGTGTCAGCATTTTCCGTCGGGCGAGCTCGGCAGCCGGAGGCGGCGGGTCGCCAACGGTCGAGACTGTCCGAGCAACACCGACGCGGTGACGGGAGGGAGAGGAATACACTTGTGTTCGGATGCTGATACACGATGATTGCGTTTTAAAAGAATAAACTGCTAAATTCTGCGTTTGGTTTCTTTTTCCTAAAACTGTGCTGACATCAGAAGTGGGATTCTTTAAACCCTTGCGTGCACTTGTACGACAATGCCGAAAGAGCAGCGACGCCATAAAAAAGACAAACGGCGACGTTCGCGCCGGAGTGAATCTAGTGATGGTGCAAGTGGGTCTCGTTCACGGCATGAGCGGCGGCAAAAGCACAAGAAGTTGCGGGAACCGACTCCAGAACAACAACTTGCGAGACGGCACCGCTTGCGAGCTCACTCGAGGACGAGGAGTGGCGACAGTCCTGGTCGCAGCAGTCCTGGTCCTGCTTCTGTTTCGCAAATCAGTGAGGCTATAGCAGCTGGGTTTGGTAAGCTGGCAGAGCAGGTGGAGGTGCGTGAGACTCGCCAGCAGGTAAGTGGGATCCCCCTTTCTACGGCCGGCAGCATTATTGCCGAATTCGATCCTTTAGAAAACGAGGTTGACGAGTGGTTGGAGTCGATTGGTGAGTACGCTCAAATTTATAATTGGGACGACAGGACAACGTGTCATTTGGCGTTGAGCAAACTAAGAGGCCCAGCGCAAACGTGGTATCGGACACTGCCTAGTAGAGTGTTTACGTGGCCCGAATGGCATGACATACTGTTGCGAAATTTTCCACCAAAGCGCGATCTCCATAAGGCGATTCAAATGATGATGGCGTACACACCAGAGCAGTGTAAAACGCTCTACGAATATACGTTTAATAAACTTGCGCTAATTAATAAGCTAAAATTAAATATTAACCCCGTTGATCGCGTAAATCTAATAATGGGTGGAATTTGTGACGAGCAAATTAAATTCTCGGTCCAAGCTGCAGGTATTACGGACCCGATTGTTTTAGCAGGACATTTAAAAACCATCGATGATCGAGTACTTGCAACGCAAACCGCAACCCGGCACGTTTCTCACATTCCAGCGACGCGAGCTCCAGTTTCATCTATTTATAGAAACCCAAAACAAACGTCATCTCTTTCGCGCAATGATACGGCTAATAAGCCGGTCCTCGGCCCAACTTGTTTTAACTGCGGAAAATCCGGTCACTTCCGTCGATTTTGCCCTGGTAAAAACCAACAAGCGTCCAGACAGCCACCACTATTGGCCATCGAGGCAAAAAAGTCCGTGAATTTTGTTGGTACCAATCCAAACGAGAAATATTTCAAAACTATCATGATCGAAGGTCACCAAATAAAATGTTTTGTCGATTTTGGAAGCGTGTGTTCGCTGATGAGTCAGGAGGCGGTTGAAAGGCTTAAAGTGGCGGCGCTGCCTTTGGACACGGCCGTGGTTTTAATGACTCTCGGCGGGCATAAAATTTCTCCAAGCGGCTGTGTAGCAGCAAATGTAACGATCGATGGCATCAACAAAAATTTGCAATTTTATGTCGTCGAAAAGTGTGTTATGGGCGTTGAAATTCTGATTGGCCAGAATTTCACCGACTTGTACGATATTATATACGTTAAAACAGGGAACACGTTGATCTTTTCCCAGGAAACGAATATACCTTGCAATATTAACGCGATTAGCGAAACTGCGTTGAATGTAGGTATTTCTGACAGTGACGCTGTCACAAAGTTGGTTTCGCTAATAGACCAATATTCTGTTTGCACTGCTGCAAACTTGTCGCAAATTGGTGTTACTTCTACGGTGCAAATGACCATTGAGTTAACGAGCTCCCAACCAATCGCTCGACGACCGCGTCACTATTCCGATTTTGAACGGGAACAGATCCGCGATATAGTTGGTGATCTACTTAAAAATGGTGTTATTCGGGAATCGCATTCACCTTATGCAAGTAGCGTACTACTGGTCAAGAAAAAGTCTGGCGAACTCCGTCTATGTGTGGACTATCGTCCCCTTAATAAGGTAACTATTAAAGATAAGTATCCTCTACCCTTAATTGAGGAACAACTAAGAAGTCTGTCAGGGTTTAAATATTTCACAACTCTTGACTTATTTTCTGGATACCACCAAATACCAATGGCCCCGGAATCCATCCCTTTGACCGCCTTTGTGACCCAGGACGGGCATTATGAATTTCTACGCGTCCCTTTTGGTCTCACCAATGCGCCAGCTGTATTTATGCGGATGGTAAACACTGTATTAGGTCAACTAAGATTCACTAAGGTTCTTTGTTATTTAGACGATGTCTTGATTCCAGCTCATTCTGTTGAGGAATCGCTGGCAATTTTACAAGAGGTACTTGAGATTCTCAAACAAAATGGGTTAACTTTAAAACTGTCAAAATGCTTTTTTCTGCACACAAGTATTGAATATTTAGGTTACGAGATTAGTGAGGCAGAAATTCGGCCGACTCGGCGTAAAATAGAGGCGGTCCGGAATTTTCCTGTGCCCACCGATGTCCATCAAGTGCGGCAATATTTGGGACTTACCGGATATTTTAGAAAATTCATCGTGGACTATGCGGCGAAATCGAGACCCTTGACTTCCTTACTGCATAAAAATACTGTTTGGTGTTGGGGCCAGTCTCAAGCCACCGCGTTTGAGGTCCTCAAACAGTGTCTAACTTCGGAACCCGTACTTGCCTTATTTAATCCGAATTTGTATATTAAATTGTATACGGACGCCAGTAGGTTGGGCGTGGCTGCTATCCTGACGCAGACAAGTGGGCAAGCTGAAAAAGTGGTAGCGTATTTTAGCAAACACACAAGTCCTAACGAACAAAAGTACCACTCGTTTGAGTTGGAGGCCCTTGCAATCGTGGCGGCTGTACGACGATTTCGGCAGTATTTGCTGGGCAGGACGTTTACCATCATTACTGATTGCGCTGCGGTTAAAAACGCATTTGTTAAGAGCGATCTTAACGCCCGTATCGGTAGATGGGTTTTAGAACTTAACGAATATCGGTTTAATATCGAACACCGGAACAATGGTCGTATGCAGCACGTAGATGCGCTCAGTCGCAACTTACCACCTTGCGAATGTAATGTAAACATCACCGTCATCAGCGAGGAAGACTGGCTGTTAGCAGCTCAACAGTCGGATCGGGAGATCATCGAAATTAAGAACATTTTAGAAACGGGCGATCGCGAAAATAATACTGATATCTTTAATAATTACGCGTTAAAAGGCGGAAAAGTGTACAAAAGTACCGGACGAGGCCTACGGTGGGTAGTTCCCAAAGCTGCGCGGTTCCAAATCCTACAGATGGCCCATGACGATTCCGGTCATTTTGGGTTTGACAAAACCGTAGAGCTAGTATCAAACAAATATTGGTTCAAAAAAATGCGTCGGTTTACCCATAAGTACATCAATAATTGTCTGAACTGTCTATATTTTAAACTCCCAGGTGGGAAGCGACAAGGTAGTCTCCATCCAATCCCAAAGGTACCAGTACCGTTTCACACAATCCATCTCGACCATTTGGGACCATTCATTAAGACCAAATCGGGAAATACTCAATTATTGGTCGTCGTCGACGCATTCACAAAATATGTCCTTCTTTACCCGGTAAAAAGCACAAAGACTAAATTCGTTATTAAATCACTGCGAGATATGATTAAATTTTTCGGGGCACCCATAGAATAATTTGTGATCGAGGCAAAGCCTTTACCAGCGACGCATTTCAGGCTTTGTGTAATGAACTAAAAATAAAATTACACTTCAACGCGGTCGCCATGCCCAGGGGAAACGGGCAGGTAGAGAGGTATAATCATACTATTCTTAATTCCCTGGCAACAATGGGCGCCGATTCCGACGACGACCGTTGGGATAAGAATATTTCTAATCTTCAATTAGGCCTTAACGGAACGTTAAATCGAGCAATTGGAGTTTGTCCCAGTGAGGCTCTTATGGGTTTTAGAGTTGTTTCACAGAGATTGTTACAGCCAGAAGAACCCGCCATCGTCGACGTCACTGACATTCGAAACCAAATAACTGCGCGTACAATCAAGGACCAAGCTGCTCAAAAGTCTCGTTTCGACCGTGTTCGAACTGCTGGTCAACCATATCAGGAAGGAGACCTGGTGCTGATCCGTCTAACCAGCGGCCCTGCAACCGGAACTAGCCGAAAGTTACTGCCCAAGTGGCGTGGCCCATTCCGAGTTACCAAAGTTCTCGGAAATGATCGGTATGAAGTCGCAGACATACCGGGAGCAACCAGGTCCAAGTTGCAGTACCGTGGAGCGGCCGGCATCGACAATATGAGGCCATGGGTCGTGTATGGGTAAGGTAGTACGGTTCAAATCGGGAGTAGTCCATGGTGATTGGCGCTACTCGCATTTGGCCGGCTTGTGGATTGTTGATGCTCGCTGATTCAGGCTTGACCAGAGGTTTCTGTGTTTGATAGTCTGGTGGGTGGCAGAGCTGGGTGACGATCACACAAGGTGTAGTTTTAGTTTTGTTTTGCGTTATTATTAAGTATTATGTTCATTTAAAAATTAAGCTTCCTTCTATGCGTTACATTTAATATTCGCCCTCATTTGTTTTGTATTGTATTCTTGCATTATGTAAGTTTGGCCAAATTTACCCTGTTTTCTTCCAGTTACCGTCCACGGCAGACAGGCAGCTTGCTTTCTGATTTATATCTTTAACGTAGGAGAAGTGACGATCAAAGTCTAAAGCCTGTATGTATGAGTTTCAGTCCGAGGACCTGAACTGAGGTGCCCATGTCCGTCGAGTGAGGACACTCTCCATGTCAGGAAAGGCCGTGTCAGCATTTTCCGTCGGGCGAGCTCGGCAGCCGGAGGCGGCGGGTCGCCAACGGTCGAGACTGTCCGAGCAACACCGACGCGGTGACGGGAGGGAGAGGAATTAGGGATGGGCAGATTCGGTCATCACCACGAACGGATCGTTCATCGTTCGGTCCCTACGAAGACCCGGTCGTCAAATGTCGTTCATTTCGTTCATTTCGTTCACTTCGTTCACTTCGTTCACCGTTCACATCGTTCACCGTTCACTTCGTTCTTAATCATTCAAGGCTCAGGGATCTATTGATGAATCACTCGGTCTTTCGGCTCTTCGGTCAATGGTCTTAGTTTCCCTTTTGCTTGAATCCGATCACTTTATAGGGAAAGTCATGCTCAGAACTATAGCATAGGTATTCGAAAAAAAAATCCCGGCCCATTGCTGTCTTTTTTTCGAATACTGCATTGTGTGATACGTCAAATTAAATCGTTTGAAATATACTATGATCTGATTCGAAAAATTAATGATTTAACGTTTATTTGGTTTTGTCTACATTTAATTTTTTTTAATGCCTCCCATTTTTTTAGAGATTCATGTAACGATTTTTTTCTGAATTCTGTGATGTAAAAATAATAATTTAATTTTTAAAAAAAGTAACTTGAATTTGTGGACGCAAATAATTGTGTTAATAAATACATCAATAGCACTTTTGACACAAAAATTAAATTCGTTTTTATCACAGCTTCCAAGCAACTTTTGAGTAAAAAAAAAATAATTTATTGGATCTTTCGAATCATTCGGTCGTCGCCCTTACGATTAACAATGTAGGAGCAGATTTGTTTTGTTTCCTTTTATACATTTTCCTTACGTTTTAATGTGATGAAGCCGTGAATAGTCACGTTCATTGACTATATTATACATTACCTTTTTTACGTGGCCATAGGGATTTTTTTTATTAATAATCATTACAATAGTAATAATAATTATTTATTTACATTTATTTTTTTAGTTTCTAATGTTCAGACGTTTATGAACATTGTATATTAGTTATAGTCATAAATTGCCATTTTCGTTCCCGGTTCCTAATTTAAATTCATACTACTGGAATTAATCTGTCGGGAAAACTTATGTTCTTAGTTAATTCCATAAATAGTATAGCATGTACTCCTAGTATTTGATACAGAACATAGAACTGTGCTGGAACCATGATTCAAAGATCCAACGGAATTAAGATCCAGTCGAGACAATGTGAATGGTGAACGAGTGAACGAGTGAACGAAATGAACGAAAGAACGACCAGTTTGCGTTGGGAACGATTTCGGTCACTCGTTCATTCGAACGACCCGTTCAATTTGATTCGTTCGTTCGCGAACGACACATCTCTAAGAGGAATACACTTGTGTTCGGATGCTGATACACGATGATTGCGTTTTAAAAGAATAAACTGCTAAATTCTGCGTTTGGTTTCTTTTTCCTAAAACTGTGCTGACAAATGAAATCCAAAAAGTGAGGTTAAGTTTGTCGAAACCAATGAACACGGTAATTATTTAAAAAATTACATTTTTATAGGTACCCTGAAGGTAAAAATTGTGAAAAATCACGTAATGGACAATGGCAGAGCAAGTCTTATCACAGTTAACGAACACTATGAGTACCTAATGAGTTTTTGCAGTAAATAATTTTGCCAAAGTTGTGATCCCGCGAAAGTTCTGTTTGTAAATTGTAAGGAATCGTCAAAATATTGGTGCAGACATGGTTTGTGACCGGTGCTTTTCTCTTGAAAAAACACAACTGAAAGCCTTGATCTTCATCCCTACAATAGGTGAAAACTGCTATATCCAAACATTACCTTCAGCTTTGCAGTTTCTAGATATCTGAAACATGCCAGATCTGCATAACAGGAATGTCAAAGAGGTTCTACCCAAAACACGCCCACATGGCCATCCTAATATCAAGATTTTTCAAAATTTCTATAACAAAAAAGATGAAAAAAACCAATAAAATTTCAGGAGCATAGTGTTAAGAGTTCTGTAGATGATTATGAGATCTCTTGAAACAACAGAATGTTTAATAAAGATTTTTAACTTTCCTAATAGTAAAATTACAATTATTACTAAACAGTATGTTGAAGTAAGTTTTAAATTAAGAAAATGCAACTAACACCGAAAGAAAAATGAAAGTTACTGAAAATAAAAAACTTTATTGCAGTACCTACATACACTAATTTTGTTTATTGATCACATTCATTTACTTGAAAAAGTATCAGGCCTATGAATCGTCGTCTGGAAACAGCTAACCACACACCAACCTTCATTGCGTGTGATGGTGTTTCTTCAAAAGCGTGAGTATTTTCTATACACCAAATTCTGAAGTTCTGTCAGTTGACATAATAGCCTAACAGATGAAACCAGGCTTCATCAGAAAAGAACGACAAATCGAGAATCCCGTTATCGTCCATATCAGCTTGAAACCAACTACAATACCCAACGCGGCAAGGAAAATCAGCTGGTTGCAGCTCCTGAACCAACAAAATCTTGTATGGATGCATATGTAACTTCTCTTTTACGATTTTCTGACATGGGCTGTATGGTACTCCGGACAGTAAAGATTTTTGACAAAGCTTTATTCGGACTTTGTTCCATTCTCATCCTTAAATCTTCAACAACGTCTTCACTAACTTGAGGTCTCCCCGTCGGTTTTCACTTAGAAATGCTACCAGTGTCGTTAAATCTGGCCATAATTCGCCATATAGCGTCTTCAAAGATTCTTCATCAATGACAACAGAACATTTCACTAGATACTCGTTTTTAGACGCCTCCACAGAGTACACTCCATCCCCATCCTCATTTAACACCCCATTACGGTAATAGGCATGATGATTGCGCCAAAGAACTAAAAAAATCATTTGTAACACTAACCATAGTTATTCCTCTCTGTTCATTACCTGAGATTATTCCACAATGATCTGTAGTTTTGATAAAAACTGTTTTTTGAGACACTTATTAAAGTTCTAACAATGGGGAAGACAGCAAAAATGAAAACAAGACAAGTCAATTAACGCACAAAGTGAGGGAAAACGTACCAGTACAAACGAAAAAATTATTGACATCTGACAGAATTAATAATGTCTGTGCTAATCAGCGTTGCCACGCCGTTTTACTTTCTATCGGTAGATTTCTTGGATAATTTTCGGTAAATTTCGGCATTTTTTCGGTAGATCGGTTTTTTGTGATAGAAAAGGTATTACACATAAATAATAGGTACGTTTTTTTTTTATCATATATGAAGAAGGTAGAAATATTTTGTTATTAAAAAGAAACAAATAAAAAACAAATATTAACATAGATCATTTAAAAAAATATATCTATGAGTAAACATGCTAAAGGTAGTAGGAACATTTTGTTAAAAATAAAAACACAATGAAACTATAATATTCCCCTTAATTATTGCCTCAGGTGCTGAACTGTTTCGGGGATATACTGAATTTTGTCTAACTAATTAAAAAAAAAATCCCCTTTTAATTATAACGCGCTTAAAAAGAATAGATATTTGGCGCTATCTGTAAAAATGTATAGTGGTTACGCTGGTGCGTAATAGAGGGAACTAAACAAATCCGCAGAACTAAATCTATACTGAAAAAAATATTAAGAAATAAAATTATATAAAAAAAATTATTGAAAATTTATAAATACATTAAAAATAAATTCTTGAATTATCGTAGACTTTTCGGTAGATTTTGTGTTTCAATCGGTAGATCGGTAGACAGAGCCCAAAATCGGTAGATCTACCGAAAATTCGGTAGAAGTGGCAACACTGGTGCAATGTCAACTAATGTGGCGCTAAAAATAAAAATTCCAATATTAGTGTAATCCTTTCCACAAAACTGAAAAAGGCGGCACAAAATGTCACCAAAATCATGCCCTTCTTCGACTACAATATTTTATAATGACCCTGTATAAGGGTTAATATTGTTGTTGGCTTAATTTCTACACTTTCTGCTCGCATTAGTTTACCATGCGGTTCTTTGGAAGAAGACATGTTATCATATCTATAATACATTATCACAGCGTTGTCTAAATATCCGTAGGAGTTGTTGTTGAAGTTACCTTAAAGTTGGCAAGCCTGTAATACAATTCGTAAAGGTAGCTAAAAATTTGCTTTAGGCAACCAATAATACAGTTTGGGTTATATCCCTACGAGAGCAGAGAATGAGGGTATATTGTGTACATATCATTGATCTAATAAAGGAGTGGATGGAGCCTTGTATACGTTTCCATACGCGAGCGAGTGTAATCAACACAAGAAAGAAATAGCAAGAGTTGTTATGGCATCAGTGGGAAAAGGACGGCTGACCACTAGCACGTGCTGGGTGGCAAAAAACGCTTCATTTGAACGGGAATTAATACGTTTTCTTACGAATTTGTTCAAACAATCAATTATAACAAACGTTTGTTAATGAAAACTATATTTTTACAGTTTACATTAAAATTATGTGAAATATTAAACAACAAAAATCATGTTAAGTGGTGGAGATAGTCTTTTAATAAAATAAAATGTATACACAATCTACAATATATTACGAATTCAGTTAATACAATAATCTTCTACAAGTTAACTAATTTTGTAGTGTATGTTCATTGGTAAATCTGAAATTTTTAGGATAAAATTAATTAAACTTTCGATAAAAGTGACAGGGTGCCTAATTAAATTGAACATATTAAAGAGGGTGGAATTTTCTAGCAAAATCTATTTTCTAAATCCACGTACAAATAACTAAAACAATAATCAATAGATATAAAATTCCCTCTTTTTGTAGCAACAATCCATTTTTTTCGTAATTCGGAATGTTTAGGAAATCTAACAAAATTTTTAAATTATAATTACGAAATCCTTCGTCTCTATATGTGATTATTGCCTATGAAATGAAACAGGATTGCTTTCTTTGCACGTTCTTTGCAATTATACGCACAACACGATTTCACGATGTTTAACAAATAGTTCGATAAAATACAACTTAAGAAGACTGTAGTCATTTAAATACGGTAACTTGAGCCTAAAAAGCGTAAATTTGCAAAAATACACCTTTAAACACCATGCGACAGCACGAAAGAAACCGCCAGAAACACAGTGCTCTGCAGCTTCGCGTCAATGTTTTGCCACCCAGAGAGCCCTATCTCTGCCCCACTGTGTTGGCAACGCGCGTCTCTCTCTAAGTTACTTCCATATAATATTATTTCTATGGTACATATCATCAAAAATGACAGATGTCAGAAATTATTGACTTATAAACGTTAAATTTGCTAGTAATGCAAGTGTGAAATGAGAAATACGGAATGCGTAGCAAAATGGGCAATGAGAAATGTAAAATGAGTAATGAGAAATGATCAATGCGAAATAAGAAATGATTTATGAGAAACGAGAAATGCGAAAAGTGAAATGTGGAATGCGAAGCGAAATAGGAAATAAAAAATGCGTAATGAGAAATTCGAACTGCGAAATGGGAAATGCGGAATGCAAAATGAGAAATGAGAAATCGAGAATGTGAAAGGTAAAGCAAAATGTGAAATGAGGGATTCGAAAAAGAAATCCGAAATCCGAAATGTAAAATGAGAAATGCGAAGTGCCAGCTGCGAAACTGGAAATGGGAAATGTAGAATGTGAAGCGAAATGGGAAATGCTAAATGAGAAATTCAGATGTGAAATAAGAAATGAGAAGAAAGAGGAAATGATAAATGAAAAATGTGAGAAATGTTTGGATTGAGAAATATGGATTATGAAATGAGAAATATAAAATAGGAAATTGTAATGCAAAATGTGAGAATTATGAAATAAGAAATGATGAATGAGGAATGTGGAATGAGAAATATGAGTCATGAAACGAGAAAAGTGAGGAATCAGAAGAAATAAAAAATATGGGAAACAACAAATCTGAGAAATGAGAGAGATGAAATGAGAAGTAACACGAAGTGAGAAATGCGATATGTGAAATGAGAAATGAAAAATATGGACAATGAGAAATGGGAAATGATAAATGAGAAATATGAGAAATTAGGATGGTGAGAAATGTGAGAAACGATGAATGTGAGAAATGAGAAAGATGAAATGAGAAGAAATGAAAAATGACACGAAATGAGGAATGAGATATGTGAAATGGGAACTGAAGAATGAGAAGAAATGAAAAATGAGACACGACACGAAGTGAGAAATGTGAACTATGAAATGAGAAATGAGAACTGCGAAATGAATAATAAACGAGAAATAAGAAATATGAGAAAGATGAAATGAGAAGAAATGAAAAATGAGAAATATGAATTATGAAATGAAAAATAACACGAAGTGTGAAATAAGAACTGAGAAATGAATAATAAACGAAAAATGAGAAATACGAGATGTTAGGATGATGAGAAATGCTAGAAACGATAAATGTGAGAAATGAGAACTGAGAAATGAATAATAAATGAAAAATGAGAAATATGAATTATGAAATAAGAAATGACACCAAGTGAGAAATAAGAAATGTGAAATATGAAATATAAAATAAGAAATAAGAACTGAGAAATGAATAATAAACGAAATATGAGAAATACGAGATGTTAGGATGATGAGAAATGTTAGAAACGACAAATGTGAGAAATGAGGACTGAGAAATGAATAATAAATGAAAAATGAGAAATATGAATTATGAAATGAGAAATGACACGAAGTGAGAAATGAGAAATGTGAAATATGAAATGAGAGCTGGAAAATGAATAATAAATGAAAAATGAGAAATATGAGAAATAAGAAAGATACAATGAGGGGGAATGAAAAATGAGAAATGTGAAATGAGAACTGAGAAATGAATAATAAATGAAAAATGAGAAATATGAATTATGAAATGGGAAATGACACATTGTGAGAAATGAGAAATGTGAAATATGACACGAAGTGAAAATGAGATATGTTAAATGAGAAACGGGAAATGTGATATGAGAACTGAGAAATGAATAAATAAATGAAAAATGAGAAATATGAATTGTGAAATGAGAAACGACACTATGTGAGAAATGAGAAATGTGAAATATGACACGAAGTGAAAATGAGATATGTTAAATGAGAAACGGGAAATGTGATATGAGAACTGAGAAATGAATAATAAATGAAAAATGAGAAATATGAATTGTGAAATGAGAAATGACACTATGTGAGAAATGAGAAGTGTGAAATATGACACGAAGTGAAAATGAGATATGTTAAATGAGAAATGAAAAATGGGAAATGTTAAATGAGAACTGAGAAATGAATAATAAATCAAAAATGAGAAATATGAATTATGAAATGGGAAATGACACGTTGTGAGAAATGAGAAATGTGAAATATCAAATGAGTAATGTGAAATATGAAATGAGAAATATGTGAAATTAGGATGGTGAGAAATGTGAGAAATGAGAAAGATACAATGAGAAGAAATGAAAAATGAGAAATATGAATTATGAAATGAGAAATGACACGATGTGAGAAATGAGAAATGTGAAATATGACAAGAAGTGAAAATGAGATATGTTAAATGAGAAATGGGAAATGTGAAATGAGAATTGAGAAATGAATAATAAATGAAAAATGAGAAATATGAATTATGA